TTCTGCACACCAAGTACCGCGCAGCCACCGACGTCTACGCCCTCATGTTCCTGGCTGATGTCGTCGACTTCATCATCATCATTTTTGGCTTCTGGGCCTTTGGGGTGAGCCAGACCTGGGATCCCCCAGTGGATGCAGAGCCCAGCAGCACCCACCCACGTCCCCCGGGGCCTGGCTCCCCCTGACATGTGCTCTCCCGGCCACAGAAACACTCAGCGGCCACAGACATCACGTCCTCCCTGTCGGATGACCAGGTCCCTGAGGCCTTTCTGGTCATGCTGTTGATCCAGTTCAGTACCATGGTGGTCGACCGCGCCCTCTACCTGCGCAAGACTGTGCTGGGCAAGCTGGCCTTCCAGGTGGTGCTGGTGCTGGCCATCCACCTGTGGATGTTCTTCATCCTGCCCGCCGTCACCGAGAGGTGGGCCCACGTGCCGGGGAGGAGTGTGCAGTCTCCGGGGGGGCTCCACTTCCGATGGGGTCTTTGACCTGGCCATCCCACCCCAGGATGTTCAGCCAGAACGCGGTGGCGCAGCTGTGGTACTTCGTGAAATGCATCTACTTTGCCCTGTCCGCCTACCAGATCCGCTGCGGCTACCCCACCCGCATCCTTGGCAACTTCCTCACCAAGAAATACAATCACCTCAACCTCTTCCTTTTCCAGGGGTGAGTGAGGGTCCCGCCAGGGGGTGGGGGTCGTGAGAAGCGAGATCCTGCCCTGTCACGGCCCGGGCAGGAGGAATCCCACCTGAAGGGATCCCTGGCTATGGGCAGGTTCCGGCTGGTGCCATTCCTGGTGGAGCTTCGGGCAGTGATGGACTGGGTGTGGACAGACACCACGCTGTCCCTGTCCAACTGGATGTGCGTGGAGGACATCTACGCCAACATCTTCATCATCAAGTGCAGCCGAGAGACAGAAAAGGTGCCTGGGCCAGGGTGGGGCCTGAACAAGGGGCCAGGGCTGTGCCGTCTCCCCGGGGCAGAGGCACTGCTGCCATGAGAACCAGGGGTGCTGGTAGTCCTCCCAGGGCTCGCAGGCACTGGGGAGGGACACGAGGCAAGCCCCCAACTAGCTGATCCTGAGGCCAGTGATCTTGGCAGTTGCAAGTGGGTGCCGGGGGCAGAAGTGGGCAGACTTGGCCCTGTTCCAGGTAGGCTGGCAGTAGAGGAGCCCCTGAGCTGGGCCTGGTGCAGGGGGACCAGTCGGATAGTTACCTGAGTTCTTGTTTAATGGCTTTATTTGGAGAAAATTCATGCATCCGCCCATTCAGCCATTTAAAATGTACAATTCAGGGGTTTTTCGTATATTCACAGTTGAGGATCTGCCACTAACATCAACTTTAGAATATTTTCACCACTTTAAAAAGAAACCCAGGGCCAGACACAGTGGCTCACACCTGTAATCCCAGCACTTTAAGAGATGGAGGAGGGAGGACTGCTCAAGGCCAGGAGTTCAAGACCTGCCTGGACAACGCAGAAAGACCCACCTCAGCAACTGTAAAACTAAAATCAGCTGGCTCCTGTGCTCATGCCTGTGGTCCCAGCACTCTGGGAGGCTGGAGGAGGACAAGTTGAGGCCAAGAGTTTAAGACCAACCTGGACAACACAGCCAGACCTCCCTACACAAACATTAGCTGGGTGTGATGGTGCACACTGCTGCCAGGTGCTCTGGAGGCTCAGGTAGGAGGGCTGAGGCCCTGCATTAAGCCTGATCACATGACTGCACTCCAGCTTGGACAACAGTGTGAGACCCTGTCTCTAAAACAGTAAACAGCAAACCAAGTGCCCATTGGCTGTCGCTCCGTTCCCCTCCCCGGACCCTGGGAACCCCTAGTCTACTTCCTGTTTCTATGTGGCTCTGCCTGTTGTTGTGGATATTGCATGAAAGCAGGACCCGCTAGCCTTTGTCTTTATGTGACCGGCTCTCCTCACTCGGCAGTGTTTGAGGTTCACCCCCATGGCAGCACGGCCTTCCCTTTCATGGGCAAATGACATTCCGGGGTACGGATGCACGTGTTCATCTGTGGATGGACTGACTGAGGGGCTGTTTCCCATGATGCTGCCGGGCACCACGGCATACACATGTGCGCCCGTGCCCTAGTACATGGGCTGCACGCCAGGGCTGGAGTGCTGTCTGGTGGTGTCTTACGTCGTGAGCAGCCGCTGCTTTGCACGGCCGCTCCACCATCTTAGGCTCCCCCAGCAACACAGGGGCCCAGTTTGTCCACATCCTCGGCAGCCTGCTGTTATGTGGTTTTTGTTGCGGCCTTTCCTGCTGAGCCTTCTGCAGTCCCCTGTTGACTGCTCGACTGTGTGTGTCTGTCTTCCTTGGGGAAATGTCTATTCAAGTCCTTTCTCTGCATTTTAGCTGGGATTTGAGACAGGATCTCACTGTCGCCCAGGCTGAGGTGCAATGGCATCATCTTGGCCCACTGCAGTCTTTGCCTCCCAGGTCCAACCGATTGTCCCACCTCAGCCTCCCAAGTAGCTGGGACTACAGGTGTGCAGTACCACACCTGGCTAATTTTTGCATTTTTGGCCCAGTTGATCTTGAATTCCTGACCTCAAGTGATCCGCCCGCCTTGGCGTCCCAAAGTGCTGGGATTACAGGCCTGAGCCACTGTGCCCAACAGCTGGGTTTTTTATTGGAGTTCTTTTTCTGTAGATACACTGGCTAGAAACGATTGAGTTGTAAGAATTCTGTGTTCTCTGGTTGCTGGGCCTTTATGTGACTTGCAGTTTCCCCAATTCTGTGCACTGTCTCAATTTCCGGATGGCGTCTGGCAGCACAGAAGTGCTCATTTTGTAATATCTAGTTTATTTTCCTTTGTCAAATCCAAGTTCATGAAGATTTGCCCCGTTTTCTTCTAAAAGTTCTAGAGTTTTAGTTGTCCTTGGAGTTAGATTTTGGCTCTTGGTGTGAGGCAGGAGTTCCGTTCCAGTCTCCTGCCTGGGCGGGGCCAGCGCCATGTGCTAGAGAAAGCCTGTCCATTCCCCGAGTGGGCACAGCTCCCTCGTCTAAGACCAGTGGCCCCTGAACATGAGGTTTCCAGCTGGATCCTCAGTCCCAGGCCACGGGTCTGTGGCTGCCTGCCACTGCTACCGCTGTGCCACGCCAAAGTCAGGCTGGGCTTTTGTGGGCTGCTGCTGAGCTGGAGCCTGTGGTCTGATCTGCAGGAAGGGCGGAACTGAGTGGATGCCCTGTGTCATTCCCCTCCAGAAATACCCACAGCCCAAAGGGCAGAAGAAGAAGAAGATCGTCAAGTACGGCATGGGTGGCCTCATCATCCTCTTCCTCATCGCCATCATCTGGTTCCCCCTGCTCTTCATGTCGCTGGTACGCTCGGTGGTGGGCGTGGTGAACCAGCCCGTCGATGTCACCGTCACCCTCAAGCTGGGCGGCTATGAGGTGAGCCTGCGCTGGCCCGTCTGTCCATTCCCATGCCCCGGGGGTTGTGGCCAAGGCAGTGCCACCCCTCGCTGCCCCTGTTCGCTCATCTTCACGGCCCTGTGCCTCCAGCCACTGTTCACCATGAGCGCCCAGCAGCCGTCCATCATCCCCTTCACGCCCCAGGCCTATGAGGAACTGTCGCGGCAGTTTGACCCCCACCCGGTAAGTGGCCTCTGCCCTGTGACAGCCTGGTGGGGTGGGGGGAAAAGGCTGCAGTCACTGAGGGTGTCACCTGCACCCAGCTGGCCATGCAGTTCATCAGCCAGTACAGCCCCGAGGACATCGTCACGGCGCAGATTGAGGGCAGTTCTGGGGCACTGTGGCGTATCAGCCCGCCAAGCCGCGCCCAGATGAAGCGGGAGCTGTACAACGGCACAGCTGACATCACCCTGCGCTTCACCTGGAACTTCCAGAGGTGTGGCCCGGGATGGAGGCAGGGCCTGCGGGGCTGGCCCCACGGCCCTGGGTCACGCTATGTTCCCACCCACAGGGACCTGGCTAAGGGAGGCACCGTGGAATACGCCAATGAGAAACACATGCTGGCCCTGGCCCCCAATAGCACGGAGCGGCGCCAGCTGGCCAGCCTCCTGGAGGGCACCTCGGACCAGTCTGTGTGAGTTACGGCCCAGGGTGGTTGCTGGGCAGAGAGGAGGGCCAGGCCTGACCTGTTCCCACCTCCCTGCAGGGTCATCCCCAACCTCTTCCCCAAGTACATCCGTGCCCCCAACGGACCTGAAGCCAACCCTGTGAAGCAGCTGCAGCCCAGTGAGTGGGGGCACAAGGCTGGGGGAGGATTGTGGGGGGGGCGCCGCCCAACTGTCTCCCGGCTCCACCCCAGATGAGGAGGCCGACTACCTCAGCGTGCGTATCCAGCTGCGGAGGGAGCGGGGGCCGGGGGCCACTGGCTTCCTTGAGTGGTGGGTCATTGAGCTGGAGGACTGCCAGGCCGACTGCAACCTGCTGCCCATGGTCATCTTCAGCGACAAGGTCAGCCCACCGAGCCTCGGCTTCCTGGCTGGCTACGGGTGAGTGTATGGCTGGGGGCGCCCTGCAGCTCTGGAGGGCTCCGGGCAGCCCCAGGACTCACCAGCTCCCCCCGCAGGATCATGGGGCTGTACGTGTCCATTGTGCTGGTCATCGGCAAGTTCGTGCGCGGCTTCTTCAGTGAGATCTCCCACTCCATCATGTTCGAGGAGCTGCCATGCGTGGACCGCATCCTCAAGCTCTGCCAGGACATCTTCCTGGTGCGTGAGACCCGGGAGCTGGAGCTGGAGGAGGAGCTGTACGCCAAGCTCATCTTCCTCTACCGCTCCCCGGAGACCATGATCAAGTGGACTCGTGAGAAGGAGTAGGAGCTGCTGCCGGCCAGCACGGCCCCACAGCGGGTGGCACTCCGAGGGCCGGGGGAGCTGCTGCCCCGTCCATGGCTGCCAGCTGTGACACATCCTCCCGGCCTGCCTGAGCCCTGATGCTGCTGTCAAAGAAGGACACTGCGTCCCCATGGCCTGCGTGGCACTGCTGTCCCCCACGCATACGGTAGAGTTTTTTTAATTAAAAAGGTTTTATTTATACAAATGGACACTGAGGGGCCGACCCCATCCTTGCCTTCTAGCCGCAGTGTGGTGGACCCTGCACCTGCTGTCCCAGAGAGCATGTCCTCAGCTCTGGCCCACCTCATCGTCACTGTCCTCAATCAGACAGTCCCGGAGCTCTGCCAACACCCAGGCCCTAGAGAGAGAACTGTAGTGGGTACCGGCCCCTAGGCACCTGCCCCCCCAGGCCACAGCAGGATGGGCCCCAGTACCTCTGGGTGCGGAGCTGGGCCTCGGCCAGGATGTACTGTGGCAGGGGCTCCAGCGAGGGCTGCAACAGAGGCCGGGCTTGGAGAGGGGGTGCAGGAAGGCTGTCCCCTCCCCGAGCCCAGGCTGGCGGGCACCAACTCACCAAGTCCTTCATGTTCACACGGCAGCCATAGCACAGCTGCTCCACAATGCAGGCTTGGGGGTCCTCCCTGCAGGAGCAGAGCTGGATGTGTGCCCACCTTGGCACCTCAGCACCAGTGGGTGAGGGCACATCCCCCTCCCCCCAGACAGCTGCCCAGGGGTGGTAGGGACAAGGACTCACCTCCTGGAGGCCCCTTGGCAACAGCCCTGGGCCCGGGGCCCCCCCGGGAAACAGCAGGGCCCCTGGGGTGTCCTGGTCTCAATCAGGGCAATGGGCGACTCCTGGGGAGTCCCGGTGTCAGTCAGGGAGGTGGGCAACTGGATCTGGGAGGGATGTGAGGAGGTCTGAACCCCAAAAGCCGTGGCACTGTCTGCAAGCAGAGAGGGGCTGAGGGGACCCTGGTCCTGAGCCCCCATGCCCACTCCCCCATCACCCCAAGAGCAGGATGCACAGACCAGCGGCGTCAACGTCCAGGGCGCACATGCACAGCAGACAGCGAGGGCTGTGGTCGCCGGTGGCAGGGCCGTCCCGGGGGGCCTTCACCAGCTTCTCACTTGTCCTGTGGCCAGGGTGGGAGGAACAGGTGAAACGCACGGGGTGCACCTCCCCTGTAAGCCCTGGCCTGAGCATGGGCAGTGCGCCCAGCACACACCTGCACACACCTGTACACAGTGCTGACGGTGGAGGGAAACTGGGTCTGCAGCCGGAGAATGAAGGCCTCCATCAGCCGGTGGATGCTGGCCTTTTCAGGGGCCTAGGGAACAATCAGATTCAGGGCTAAGGGAGAGCCCAGGGCCAGCACCAGGCTGGGGCAGACTCATGAAGGCAGGTGCTGTGAGTTCCACACTGCCGGCCCCCATGGCTCTGGCCTCGCCACGACAGCTCAAGGAAGCCAGAGGACCAGCTTCAGCAGTGTACCTGTGGGGCTCCTGTCACCCCACGCCCTCGGGGACAGGGCAGACTCAGAGGACCCTGGGGACGTGGCACTGCTGGGGGACACGGCAGGGGTCACTGAAGGTGTGCCGGTGACCTCTGAGCCTGTGAGAAAGGCCGCCCAGCCCACACAGCCCGCCTTGGTGAACCCACCTTGGTATCGACGGCTGGCGTGAAGACAGAAGGGACGGAGAACAGCCGGTTGTAGAAGGCGACCTCCTTCAGGGTGTGCTCCCGCATGGGTCTCACCACCACCACGTCCCCGTGCCGCTCATCGGAGAAGCCCTGGGGAGGTGGGGGCTGTAGAGTCAAGGTCAAGGCCTACATATCCCCGCTCTTCCCCACATGGTGTGAAGGGCACAGACCCCACCTCCATCCGAGACGCCACAGGACTGATACGAGAGTCCTCCCATATGAAGATGGCCGAGGGGAGCGGGTGGGGACGGGCCTCCTGGGCACTCAGGCCCCTGCCTACCGTGTCCCAAGCCAGGAAGGCCCCTCTACCCAGCGCCAGGTTGGTCATGAGCTTGATGGCCAGGCGGGTGCAGCTGTCCCCAGTCATGACCTTGGAGTAGCCGTGAGCGCGGGCCACGTGCAGGATCAGGTGGGCCCTGCAGCACATGGACTCTCAGAGCCGGGCGGGCTGGCCGGGGAAGGGGCTCGGGGGCCTGGGAACTGCGGGGCCTTACCGCAGGGTCTGCAGAAGCTCCTCCTTGGCTGTCAGTGTCCTCACTGAGCAGAACAGGTGGGAAAGAGCCTCAGTCTGGGCAGCAGCAGGTGGTCTCAGCAGACTCGGGGGGTTCTGCGGGAGCTGGGCACGGGGCTGGGGCAGCTGTTCCTCCCCATGAGCCGGGCCAGGCCCACCCCCTGCCCCCAGCACATGCTGCTGCCGGAGGAAGCTGTCCACGGCCGCCTTGTAGGCCTCCTCGGGAGCCGCTGGCTCCTGGGAAGAGCACCGCAGCACCGACGGCGACAGGCTGAACACCTTCCGGGAGACAGGAGAGAGCAGTGAGGCTCGGGACAGGCCCAGAGGCTGCCTCTGGGACCCCTTCCCAGGGCCAGCCCTCCCACCTCCTCTAAGGCCACCACGTGCCACGGGAACCCAATTGCTTGCAGGATGGGCTTCACTTCAGCCAGGGTCTTCGCTCTCTCCTCCGGGCTCCGGCCACAGGCTGCTCCCTCTGAAAAACCCAGGCGGAGTCACGGCTCACAGAAGAGCCAAGCAGGGTGTGGGGCCACCTCCCCCCGGGAAATCCTTCCAGGCCTCGCTCTGCAGGGCCGTGCTTCCTGGAGGAGCTGTGGGATATCTGCCGTTTTCCTTTGCGGAAGGGGATTCTCCCTGGGGCTAACCTCAGTGCTACAGTGAACGCCCCAGGAGTTCATCCCACAGGAGCAAGGCTCTGGGAGGCGGCCCCTGGGTCCCCCTCACCACGCGAACTTCACACGCCCTTCTCTGTCCCCAGAGCCCGTGATGGGGGCTGGGCAGCCTGCTCCTGCTCCCCACCCCCAACTTTCGGAGGATGTTCTCAGGTTCCAGGAACACTGGCGCCTCCTAACGACGGACACATCCTCTGCCTCCTTCAGGGGAATGTCCCCACCAGGGCCTGAGTGCAGGGGCGGCAGCAGCTCCGCATGCCCTACCAGAGGAGGGTCGGCAGGGCACACCCCAAGTGGCCAGGGAGTCAGAGAGGCAACAGCCACACATACCATCAACAAAGATGACCCCTGGCACAAAACGCAGCCTCTTGGCAGAATCTTGGCTTAGGCCCTGGAGGGAGAAGCATCAGGGAGTCAGTCCCAGCCGCAAGCCACAGGACACTTCAGCTCAGAACATCTTTCATCTGGGTTTAACGCCCTCCTGGAAGGTAAAGTGACCTTCCCCTGCCAGTGCTTTTAGTGGACAAAGCCATTCAGACTTGGGGGCCAGGCAGGCCCAGTAGGCAATGCTGCATGCCCGACGTGTTTTCCACAGAAGCCTGGGGGTCTTCACCCCCTGGTAAAATGCACTGGTCCTGGATGCCTCAACAACGCCCCAGGAGAGGAGGCTGGGGCTATGGGGCCACTGTGACTGCACCTCACACACTTCTGGCCACTCAGAAAGAGCCTGCTAGAGGCTGGGGCACCACTGGGCACAGGAAGGGCAGCACCAGAGTGACACAGAGGGCTGAGCCAGTTACCTCACACCACCCTCCTGGCGGGTTCGGGGGACCTCAGAGAACAGAAAACTTCAGCAGTGCCGTGCAGCGTGCCCATCCTGAGACCAACATCACACCCATCACCCAGGCAGAGCCAACCCTCCCCTCTCAACCACCCACCCCCCAGAAACAGCCTCCTCCAGACTGCACCCCTCACTGGGAGTGCGGAGAAACCAGGCACATCCCGCTCCTGTGCCCTCCTGAGAAGCCCTACCTGCCAAGGACTTCCTGAGCTGGCCTTGAACACGACGGGGCACAGCCCCCCACCCTCAGCCAAGCCCCTGCCTCCGCCTCCCCGCCACGTGCCATGCCCTCCACCTCAAACACCGCTCCCTTTGCTTCTCCTGACAGTCCCCTCTCCCGCTTCCTGATCCTCACTCAGGTCACACGTGGCCAAGCCGAGATGCCACTTTCCACTGCCTGTGCCCTCCACCTCAAACACTGCTCCCTTTGCTTCTCCTGATAGTCCCCTCCCCCGCTTCCCGATCCTCCCTCGGGTCACACGTGGCCGAGCCGAGACGCCACCTTCCACTGCCTGTGCCCTCCACCTCAAACGCTGCTCCCTTTGCTTCTCCTGACAGTCCCCTCTCCCGCTTCCCGATCCTCCCTCGGGTCACACGTGGCCGAGCCGAGACGCCACCCTCCACTGCCTGCGTTTCTGTGCAGGCTGAGTAAAGGGACACAAGTGGGACGCACACAGGCGCTCTGCACAGATTTCTGATCGGTGCACCTGCTGGAAACACATCTGAGAACCCTGCTGGTGTCCAGGCCAGGGGCCGGGCTGCTCTCTAGCCCCAGCCCCCCAGCCTCAGCCCAGCAGCCGGGGCCAAGTGGGTGGTGAACACGCACCTCAAGGACCTGCCAGACCATGGAGCTGGACGAAGGCCCCCCAGACCACGCCAAGAGCACCTGGGAGAGAATAAACAGCACTCAGGGAGCCGCACCTCCAACACAAGCAGACACCCCACCTCGTGGACGTCCAGGACATCGAGGCAGCCCTCAAATCCCAGGGCGGAGCTGGCGGCTGCAGCAGGCCAGACCACCCGTGGGAGGGAGAAGCAGGGGACTCGAGGGACTAGGCTGCTCAGTCAGACCCCCAAGACCCAGATGCTACCTTCTCGCCTGGGAAGATGAGCCGGTTCTTGCCCAGCATGGCTCTGAACTTGTGGATGTAGAAGGCCTTGAAACAGCCCCTGCAACACAGACCGGAGATGATGGAGCCGCTCGGCCCCCGAACGGTGGGCAGCATCCTGAGCCACTGCGGCTGCCGGCCTCCTTCACCGACTGCCATCTTTAAAAGCAGCATCTTTGCATCCAGGCTCTGACCAGAGACTGGTGAAAGGGGAGAGGGTAGGGGCCCCTACGGCGGTGGCTTCCCCAGGGTGAGCATGAGGCTCCCTGACGCTTCCCACAACCCCAGCAGGTATGAATGGCACTGCATGCAATAAACGAGGGGCCGGAGCCCAGGCATCCCTGCCCCACAGGCACTCAGAAGGGCCCAGCTGGCAGAGTGGACAGACTTAGGCATGAACAGGGCAAGGCCAACCCAGAGCCCATAAGAAAAGACCCACCACACAGGGACGGTACCTCTCTGGGGCGCAGTGGAGAAACTCAGCAGGCGCACAGCGAGGGCCCAGCATCCTCGCTGGGTTGAATGGGCCAGAAATGGCTAAGAGGCTCACTCACAGAGCGCCTGCACGTCTCCAGCCCCACAGAACCACAACTTCCAGGGCTGGGAACTGCATTTTTTTTTTTTTTTTTTTGTTTTGTTTTTTTTTTTTGAGACAAAGTTTCACTCTCATTGCCCAGGCCAAAGTGCAATGGCGCAATCTTAGCTCACCGTGCCTCCTGGAATCAAGCAATTCTCCTGCATCACCTCTCGAGTAGCCGGGATTACAGGCCTGTGCCACCACCCCCAGCTAACACGGTATTTTTAGTAGAGACAGGGTTTCTCCATGTTGGTCAGGCTGGTCTCAAACTCCCGACCTCAGGCGATCTGCCCGCCTCGGCCTCCTAAAGTGCTGGGATTACAGGTGTGAGCCACCATGCCCAGCAGGGAACTGCATTTTTAAGAGACAGGGTCTCGATCTGTCACCAGGCTGGAGTGCAGTGGCAGTGATAACTCCTGGGCTCCTGTGATCCTTCTCCCTTGGCCACCCAGGTAGACAGGACTACAGGTCACGGGCACGTGCCACCATACCTGGCTAATATTTGTATTTTTTGTAGAGAGAAGGTCTCACTATATTGTCCAAACTGGTCTCAAACTCCTGGCCCCTAGTGATCCTCCTGCCTGGGCCTCCCAAAGTGCTGAGATTACAGGCGTGAGCCACCGTGCCCAGCTGTAATCTTCATTCCTAGTAAATGTTCCAGCCACCTGACTCTGGTTCAGATTCTTGGCCCTAGCTATATGTTGGAACCACACAAACCAATTGAGTCAAAATGTCGAGGCATGAGGCCTAGGAATCTGCCTTTTAAAGCTCTCCTGCAATCCCCCAGGACGTAGCTTTGGGCGTGGGGAGCATCACACAAGGAGAACAGGTGCTGGGCTTCACCTCCTCGCTGTGGGCCAGGAGGACCTGTGTGCCCCACACCAGCAGCTGGGATTCAAGCGTGGTGGGTCTGCGTGGACATGCCGTGTCTGGGCTCCTGAAACCTCACTGTCCCCTCTGTGTCAGGCAAGGCCAGGGTTCCCCTGCATGCTGATCTGAATCATCACTGGGGAGCCCAGCTCGACCTAGACTCCTAAGGCCTTCACCTGGAGACCCAGCTCCCCACTCCTCGGCACCAGCGAGCACAGCACAGTAAAACTCTGGCCTCGGCAGGAGCCCTGCTGACCACAGAGGCCTTGCATGGAGCCACCGCAGCCTCTCCTCCATAAATCCTCCCAGCAGCCTAGTGTACACGGCAATTTCAGAAGTTCCTGAGTGGTTAAAGAAGTACTACCTTGGCCGGGCACGGTGGCTCCTGCCTGTAATCCCAGCACTTTGGGAGGCTGAGGCAGGTGGTTCACCTGAGGTCAGGAGTTACAGACCAGCCTGGGCAACACAGTGAAACCCCATGTCTACTAAAAATACAAAAACTTAGCTGGGCCTGATAGCAGGCTCCTTAACTCAAGAGACTGAGGCAAGAGAATCTACTTGAACTTGGGAAGCGAAGGGTGCAGTGAGCTGAGGTCGCACCACTGCACTCTAGCCTGGACAACAAGAGGTAAACTCCCTCTCAAAAAAAAAAAAAAAAAAAAAAAAAAAAAGGGCCTCCCTTCCCCAAAATGAAACTCCCGCTCCACAAACCCCATTCTCCAAATCTAACAGGCTCTCAAAAGATGGTCAAGGATAAGAAAACTGTTGGAGAACAATCTCCTCAGCTCTCCCACCCCAGTGTCTTTTTTTTTTGAAACATTTTAGAAAGCAGAGCCCAGGATTCCTGGAGACCAATTAAAAAGTGTGAGGTTGCCAACCCCAGTGGTTCATGCCTGTAATCCCAGCACTTTGGGAGGCCGAGGCGGGTAGATCAGGAGGTCACAAGTTCGAGACCAGCCTGGCCAATATGGTAAAACCCTATCTCTACTAAAAATATAAAAAATTAGCTGGGAGCAGTGGCGCTCACCTGTTGCCCCAGTTACTTGGGAGGCTGAGGCAGAACCGCTTGAACCCGGGAGGCCAAGGTTGCAGTAAGCCAGGTTCACGCCCCTGCACTTGATCCTGGGTGACAGTGAGACTCCATTTCAAAATAAATGTCATCACTCATTCTACAAACATGTGATGCAAAAAAAGCACGTGTTGGGCGAGTCTGGTGGCTCACGCCTATAATCCCAGCACTTTGGGAGGCCAGGGCAGGCAGATCACTTGAGGGCAGGAGCTCAAAACCAGCATGGCCAACATGATGAAACCCCGTCTCTACTGAAAATACAAAAATTAGCCAGCCATGGTGGTGGGTGCCTGTAACCCCAGCTACTTGGGAGGCTGAGACTGAAGAATCGCTTGAACCTTGCAGAGGCTGCAGTGAGCCAGGATCACGCAACAGCACTCCAGCCTTGAGCAACAGAGAGACTCTGCCAAAAAAAAAAAAAAAAAAAAAAAAAAATTACCTAACACCATTGAGAATTAAAAGTGCTGAAATGAGAGAGGCCTGAGCCTGCCTCCGGGGAGCTATGATTCCCGTGGAAACAATCAAACAATACAATGGTTACCAACCAAGAAAAACATGGCAAGGGCCATAAAAGAGTTACAGATAAAACGGAACATTCTCACACCCTAGCGCCTCTGGGAATTAGCCTCTGCTCCTGTCCAAAGCCTCACCTCCCCCTCAGACCTGGGGAAGGCTGGAGGTCTCCTTCCAAGCCTCTAGCCAGTCCCTGAGGAAACAGGCATCTCACATGAGATAAACTTTCACCCAGAGGATCTGCCAAGTTCCCAAAATGCTCCAATCCGCCCCTAGATGTGTTCCAGCTGCCCCCAAATACCCATTCCTCCTCCACCTAATCCCAATCTAGACACCACGGCCCCACTTCCAACCGTCCTCATCAGCTCCATTAGAAACCTCGCCAGCTGATCTGTGGCTAGCTCATGGTAAATTGCTTGCCAAGCAGAAAACCAACGCTTTCGCCTCCACTTCCACACCAGGGGCACCGGGGACAACATCAGAAGCAGGAAGAAAATAAGTAAGCGATTAAATAAAGAAGAAACAAAGCCTCGGAAGCGGGGACTGTCCTGTCTGCCTAGCGAGGCTATGTCTGCCAGGGTCTCGGCACCTCCAGGCCTCACCTGCAGAAGGCATCTCCGGCTCGTATCACCACCACCGGCTGGGCTTCCCTGCACTTCACACACTTCTGCTCGCGGCTGTGGAGATGTGAGGGAGGGAGAAGGGAGGAACACAGATATTTGGGGAACTCCTGTTCCTGAACCTGAGTTGGGTCAGAGTAAAGCATCTTGTGACACACACAAACTAAGGCTTGTGTTTTGTCCAAACTTAAAAAGGCTCTTAGGGGGATGTTTCGCCTAAAAAACAAGGCTCAGGGCGCACATAAAGACCGCTATTCGATCTCCCAAGGCTGGCACAGGGAGGAAAGACAGCTTCACTGAACCAGTTCCATACGCATAAGGGTGGCACTGTCAGCGGCAGAGACGTCCCCAGTGGCTGCTAGGATGATGAGAGGTGCGAGCCAGTGGAATAAGCCCCCTTCCTAGGTGCTCGTCACTGCTGGACAGTCACTCCCCGAGTGCTGCGGAGGGAGGTCCGCCCTCCACGCGGCGCTCGGAAGTGACGGCAAAGCCCGACCGGGACCCTCGGGGCAGGAGTGCAGCGGGAAGGCGAGGGGCGGCCCCGCGGGTCCGGCCGCCAGTTCTTACCTAGGCCGCGGAGCCGGGGGCGGCTCCCGGGGCGCCGGCTCCCCGTAGTCCTCTCCCACCTGACACATGCCCACGCCGGGTCCCCTCGCAGACTGCGGCAACTGCAGCGCGAGGGCGCGGCCTGATGACGCCAGCGCAGCGCCGTCACGGCCGCCAGGCGCGGCCGGGGCGGCGCCCTCCGATGACGTCAGCGCGGCGCAGTCGCGGCCGTGACGCGCTGGCCGGGCCGGGCCGGGCCTGGACAGCGGGCGGCGGGCGGCGCGGGCCTGGCCCCGGGATGGCGATGTTCCGCAGCCTGGTGGCCTCGGCTCAGCAGCGGCAGCCGCCGGCCGGGCCCGCGGGCGGCGACAGCGGCCTGGAGGCGCAGTACACCTGCCCCATCTGCCTGGAGGTCTATCACCGGCCCGTGGCCATCGGCAGCTGCGGTCACACGTGAGCGCGCCCGCCGGGGGCCGCGGGGAGGGGGCCGCGCCCCGCCGCGGGGGGGATCGCTGGGCCGGCGGCCGCCCCGGAGCAGCCCCGGACTGGGCGCGCGGGGTCCGGGCTCCCCTGCGCGCCGCCGCCGCTGTCCTCGGGGCGGTTCGTCCTCCGCCCGGGCGCCCGGTCCGCTGCTCCTGCGGCTCCCGGGCCGACCTGCGGCCCTGCCCAAGCTCGGGGTCCCCGGGGGCTGCGGCGGGCGCTCGGGTACTCAGAGGCCCGCAGGTGCCGCCGCTGCGCTGGTGGTGGCGGCGTTGGTCCTGTGGGGCTGGAATGGGCAGTTGTGAATAAATGACTTGTGGCTTTTGCTATCGACTCTTGTCCGGACCCGCTGTTTGCCCGTTTTGACGACAGAGGAAAGGAGTTCCCTAAAGTTGAGAGGGGCTTGTTTGGAGTCTGATGTTACGTTTTCTTTGACGGAGAACTTGGGTCACAGCAGTCACTGACTAGCCAGGCCGCCCGGTCCGCAGGGGAGCAGACACTGACCCCCTTGCTGGGGTTTCCACCGGCACCAGGGCTCAAAGCTGCTTCCTGCAGGGCGTTTCGGGAACAGAAACTCGAGGACGTGGCTTTCCTCCCGGCGGGGACCTGGGCTCAAGCATTGTGGAGCTGCCCGCCCCGTTGGGAGGAAGCCGAGATCGGAGGTCTGCTCCACAACCTCCCCCAAGTGCTGGATAATACAGCTCTTGAGCAAAATGAGCAGTGGCGGGGTGGAGAGCGAGCAGGAGGGCTTCCCCAGACATCCAGGCTGCTGAGGTGGTGGAGGCTAGGGAGGTGCACCCAGGCTGGCAGGAGGCTCTAGAACATTTTGCAAGCAAAGACAGCTGACTTCAGAGGCTCCTACTACAGAGGGAGCTGGTGGCTGTGTGCCGGGCAGCCACGGAGGTGGCAGGGCCAGTGTCGGGATGCAGAGCTGCTTGGTTACCTGTGTCAGGTGGCACCGGTCCCTGCCCACGCTGGGATAGCTCTACCGACTTCTCCTGTGAGGCTGCTAAAGGCTCTGCTCCCGCTCCTCCATCTCTCTTTGCTGTGACATTTTTGTGTGGCAGCCTCTGAAGAGGACTGTTTTTTTGGAGACGGAATGTTGCTCTTTTCACCCAGGCTGGTGCAGTGGCGCTACCTGGGCTCACTGCAACCTCCACCTCCTGGCTTCAAGCGGCTTTCCTGCCTCAGCCTCCTGAGAAGCTGGGGTGCCCCCCACCATGCCTGGCTTATTTTGTATTTTTATTAGAGATGAGGCTTGACCAAGCTGGTCTCACACTCCAGACCTCGTGATCCCCCCGCCGTGGCCTCCCAAAGTGCTGGGATTACAGGCGTGAGCCACCGAGCCCAGGGGGACTTCTTGTGAGCAGGTAGTAGCAGGTATTTCACGTGTGTTCTGCACCTTCTCATCTGTTACCAAAGGCTGCGAGGCTTGACGTGGGCCTGCTTTTAAAAGCCTCCCATGGGCTTTGGGTGTCAACACCTTCACCTTGTGGTGACCACAGCATTTCCACTTTCCTGGTCAGCACAAATAGATATTTGCCCTTGTTTTCCAAAGGCATGCTTTCCTAAAATGTGGTTTTCATCACACAGAATCCAGAACTGCATGGAATTGCGGAGCATCTTTCCTATAAACTCCTCCTCTCCCACATGCTTCTCGGTAGAATCTGACAGCCATCCTAGTCTCACTGTGGGTCCTGCGGGAGCGTGTCACACAGCCTGTGCCTTTCGAGGGCTTCTACCCCTGACTCTCCCTGGCAGCTTTGTCTTCTGGCCGCATCCTCTGGCCCTACCTTTCTGTTTCTTGCTGGTGTTCCTCAGGCATGCACGCAGACGAGCACAGACAGTTGCAACTCTCAGGGCCCCCTCTGTAAGCTCCCAGCCAGAACAGCTTCCTCCTCCAGGGTAGATTTCTTGCGGTAGGAGTACCGCAAGCACCCTGCTCTAGCCTTGGGCAGGAGGTCCCCTGGGGGCCCAGCAGGGCCTGTTACCACTTAGGGGGCAGTCTGAGCAATAAGCCACCTCTAGAACCAGCAGCCTGTGGCCAGGACGCATGTGATCACGACCCCGCCTGGAAGGCCTGTGTGAGCAGCCTCCCCTGCGCAGGGCAGCCGTGGGCTGGCTGAGGGCCTGCCAGGCAGATCCCTGAAACGGGCTGTCCAGCTCCTCAGCTTATGCAGCGGCCAGTGTGGCAGCGACACCCCATCAGCAGTCCCCAGTGCCTGCTGGGAGGACTGGTGTGCGGTCCCCCCTCCCTTTGCAAGGCTGTCACGCCCCCACAACACCCATCGCCCTCAGCTACTTCCTTCAGCCGAGAAGCTGCTCAGCACCAGCCCCTGGGTGGGTGCAGACAGGAACTTCCTGTGGGGGCAGCGGGCACTGCTCCTGGTTGCTGGCTCTCTAGCCACCGGGGTGGTCATCGCTGGAAACTAGGCCAAGGGCTGTACCCACCTTCTCGTTCTGCTTCCTGCTCCTCAGGGGCCCGGCTCCCCCGCCTGCCAGGCTGGGTTCCCTCTCATATCTTCCTCAGGCCTGGCTCTTCCACCTGCCAGGCTGCATTCCCTCTCGTGTCTTCTGAGTCCTTCAGGGCGAGGCTGAGGCTGTCTTCCTCCTATCTTTCCTCTCTTCCTTCCCCAGCTTTGCCTGCAACACTTCTCCGTCCACTGAAGTAGCTGCCACTCAGCCCATGGCCGTGCAGTGCAGCCGGGCTCCCGCCTGGCCTCTGGCAGCTTAGGGTTCGCTCAGCAGTCAGTGCGATGTTAGAAGATTCTTAGCGCCCCAGAAAGAAACAGGGCCCTCCCTGGCAGCCACTGTTCTTTCTGTTGCTTTGTTTCTGTGGCTGTTTAGCGAGTGGACTCCTGCCACACGGCCGGCCGTGCTTGCTGTCTGCCCTGCATCGTTTCCCAGGCCTCCCGGCGCGTGGCGAGACTTCACATCTGTTCCCAGCCGAATACCCTTTCCATGCGCCTCACGCCAGACGCTTTCTTCATCCATCTGCTGAAGGGCACCTGGGTTGTTTCCGCCCCTCCCTACCCTGAGAGCCTGAGCGTGGGGGGGCCCCGGGGCCTCCCCACGTGGATCATCTTGCCAGCACCTTCCTCCCGGAATCGGATGGAATAGGTGGCCTTCACGGCTTGAGTCCAAGGGCCAGTGCCAGGGATGCCCCAGGAAATACCTGCTGGGGTGCTCAGGTGTGGGAGCGTGGGTGTCTCCTCCGCAGACCTGCCGGGACATCTGCTGAGACCTCGGGCGAGGTGGGTGAAGTGGCAGGAAAAGGCTCATTGGGGGCTGTTCACTTTGACAGGCCTCAGGATGAGTCCCACTCTCTCACACAAAGGTTAATGTGGGAGCCACCGCCAGGTGGGGCTCCACAGGAATCCAGTGGTGGGGAAAGAGGGCAAGGGGGACAGCAGGAGGGACATAAGACGCCCCCTCGGCCTTCCTCCTCACAGAAGGGGCCTTTTCTCGGGAAGGATGTGGAAATCTTGATGGCAAAAAGGACTCTGGCCCTTAATTCAGCTGAGTGGTCTGTGAACTCAGGAACTGCCCACTGTCCCGGCCAGTGGGGCTCCTACACCAGCACTGTGGCCCTGCCAGGGAGAAAGGAAACCGAGACCCCGGTCCCCCTGCCAGCCCCCCTCCCCCACCCCACCCCTGCCACCATCCGACAGGTTTCCTGTGGCTGAGGGGCTCCGCCTCCCTTCCAGCTCCTCCCCGGGGCTCAGCTGTCCCCACCCCCATGGCAGTCCTCCCCCAGCAGGATGTGGCTGCGGGATCAGGCTTCTCTGTTTGCGCTGGGGCTCTCACTGGCTGGCTGTGCTCCCCTCCAAGGCCTGTGCGCGTCTGCAGAGTGGGAGGTGGCTGTAGATACCAGCGGAGGGTGTGTGGGTCCGGAGTGCGCCCAGGGCCACAGGACGTTCATTCTGTCCTCCCAACGCAGTGTCTCCAGGCAGTGCCAAGAGACAGGGCCCATGGGAGCCTCAGGTGCCCCACGGCGGCCAGGACCTGAGCCTCTGCTCCTGCCTGCGAAGCTGTCCCAAGCCAGGTGCCTGCTACCCCGCCTCAGAGTGTGCTGCCATGGCCGGCTTTGGCCCTTCCCTGTCCAATGCTTCTGGAGGCCCTGGGGGCCCTGGGGCCTAGCAGTTTCCTTTCCCATGATTGTCTGAGTTTTGATCCCCTGGAGCGGCACTAGAAGAGTTTCCAGAGTCCCTGGGTCATCCCCGTGCCCCACGGCCCACCCAGGTGTTGTCCCCATGTGAGCGTGAGCCTGGTGGGCCAAGCGTGGGGCTCCTGCCTATGGGAGCTCCTCTGGTCCACACGTGGTAGACAGCCATCGCTATGGCTCTGTCCCAGACAGAAAACCACAGGGGCCCTACTGTCAGGAGGGACCGGGGCCACGCTTTAGCCAGATGGGGCCCATCCAGTTGGGGGGCCTTGGGTGTAGGAGTGACTGTCTCTAGAAATGGCGATAGCAGTTGGGAGAGCTGTCCCTGCAGACCCCACAAGTGCTGGGTCCTGAGAAGGGGCCCGGGTGAGGCCTGAGTTTGGGAGACCCGAGTGGTGGGCCGGAGCTCAGGCCCCTGTCCCCTGCAGGTTCTGCGGAGAGTGCCTCCAACCATGCCTGCAGGTGCCATCCCCTCTGTGCCCACTCTGCCGCCTGCCCTTCGACCCCAAGAAGGTGGACAAGGCCACCCACGTGGAGAAGCAGCTCTCATCCTACAAAGCGCCCTGTCGAGGCTGCAACAAAAAGGTACTGCCCACTCGGGCCGTCCTGGGAGGCGGGTGCACTCCATGGGCGGCCTCAGCCCATGGGTTCCACAGAGGGCGGGGCTAGGGCCACCTCGCTTTCCTGTTGAGTAACCGCAGTCTCTGCTCCTGCACCAGGAAGCTGGCCCGGGCACCTCCCTCCCCTCCGTCTTCATCTCTCCCTTCCCATTGTGACGACTGATGGGGGCCAGCCGGCCTGGCCCGGGCCAAGGGAACCCATGTGGGTCATGGCCAGTGAAGGCACGGGGCCTGAGCTGAAATCTTCCCATGCAGGCTTCCCCTGCCAGCTGATACCGGGGACAGCGCTGGGGGCTCCAGGGTCACCAGGGCCACAGGCAGGGTCAAGGACATATAAGGGCCAAGCACTCTCCAGCTGCCAGCAGTGCCAGAGCCGGGCGGGTGGGCACCGCCACACTGCATCAGAGCAGCCCAAGGGCCTGCCACTTGTCATGGGCCTCGGTGGCCCCCCTTTTCCGTCCTGTCCTGGAGCCTGGCCTATGCCCCACAGCCCTCCCTGGCACACTCATCTCAGGATGAGGAGGCCCCAGCTGGCGGTTGTTTCTTTCAGCGGCTTCTGAGGGACTGAGCAGCTATAATTGGTTGTGAATTATTTCTCACGTTGCCGCGTCTCAGGTTATGAAGCTCTGCAAAGCACTCACACTGGAACGCGGCCCCTCGGGGCCTTTCCTCGAGGTCAGAGGTCCAGACGTCCAGAGGCTGCCCCCGATTCCAGAGTGGCGAGGCTGAGCAGGCTGTGGTCTCAGGTGCTTGGGCACCTCCCGTCTCCTCCCTGCTCCGCGTTCCTCTCTCCTGGGCAGACAGACAGGATCAGAATGGGTCACATGCAGAGCGGCCTCACCACACCACAGCGGCTGATTCTCTAACCTGGGTCTTCCAGCACAGCTGTGTCTCCTGGCACCTTGCTGGGATGTGGCGCACCCCTCGGAGTCCAGCAGCCCTGGGCAGAGCTGTGTGCCAGGCTTGTGTCCAGGAGGACCTTGGGCACCTGTGGTCCTGCAGCCTGTTGCCCTGGACGTCGGGTGGGCTGTGGATGGAGGATGGTGCCCTGCCCCCGTGGAAGCATTCTCAGCCTGCCTCAGTTCCAGGGAGTGTCTGTCCCCAGCCTGGGGCGTGTGCTGAGTGGCAGGCTTCGTGGCAGGCTTCGTGGCCCCCACGGCCGCTTCCTTTTTCTGGAGCATGTATTTGAACCACCCCGAGCTCTGCCTCCCCCAGGTGCCGGAGATAGCCTCGCCTGCTTCCCACCACCCTTCTCCGGCCAGGTTTCTGCCCTCGGCCAGGTCATCCTCCAGTGACTTGCTTTTGGCCATGGAGTAGCGACTGCTCCGTGCCTGTAATTTAGCAGGAGAAGGGACCGGGTCCCCCTCTGCTGGCAACACAGATGCTTGCTTGCAGTTTTCTGGTCCTGGACACCTGAGGTCTTGGCCTCCCCAGGACAGCCCTTCCAGATTCCCAGGACTGCCCTGCCCTCCTGCCCTGTCTCCTAGGTGACCCTGGCAAAGATGAGAGTGCACATTTCCTCCTGCCTGAAGGTCCAGGAGCAGATGGCCAACTGCCCCAAGTTCGCCCCCGTGGTGCCCACGTCCCAGCCCATCCCCAGGTAGGCCACCCTGTGGGGTTAGGGGAGAGGGACAGAGTCCTCAGCTCTTTCCTCACTCTGGGAGCAAGCGCGGTGCCCTGTCCCAGCGAGGCTGGGGAGTCACCCTGGGTCAGGCCACTCTGGGGTAGTAGACCGACCTTTCCTTGCCGCCCTGCAGGAAGGCACCTGTGTCACCCTCCCTGGCACACTCACCAGACTCCCTGGGGTACAGACACCTCAGGTGTGGGGTGCAGAAGGAGGGTGTTGGCCAGACCCACAGGTCACCTCCCAGCGGGTGGACGGGCCAAGAGATGGCTCTTCCAGGGCAGCGCCAGCAGTCTCCACCCTGTGGCTGGCCTGGTTGTGTGAGGTAGACGAGGGTCCTGGGTGTGTCCTCAGGAGGTCACGGCGTGCAGAGGCATAGGGGGCACCCAGGCAATGCTGCGTCCTGCCGTCTATGGAGGGTGGCCTGGGGCCACGCCTGCGTTTGATAGAAGCAGGTGGCAGGGCCCCTAGGCCTCCAGCTGTGCCACTCACCCTACCCCCGCCCCGCCAGCAACATCCCCAACAGGTCCACCTTCGCCTGTCCATACTGCGGCGCCCGCAACCTGGACCAGCAGGAGCTGGTGAAGCACTGTGTGGAAAGCCACCGCAGCGACCCCAACCGCGTGGTAAGCAGCGCCTGCCTGGCCCGGGGGAGCGCCACCTGTGCCGGGGGGTCTGTGGAGCCAGTCCCTGCGGGTTCTCGGTGTTCAAGCCTCAAAGGCCTCCTGAAACCCGTGGTGGGGACCTGGCTGCCCCAGCAGCACCTGGCAGGAACCAGGGAGCATCCCTAAGTCTTCAGGGTGACGCTCGCCAATTAATTCGCTGGTCACCCAGGCATGTTCCTCTGGGTCTAGGGTGCCTTCCCAGGCTGGGGCACTGATAGGGGCTCGGGAGGGCACCCCAGAGGCTGGAAGGACCCCCAGTCCTGCGAGGCCGTGCCGCCTCGCCCTGGTCCAGCCTGGCCTGACCCCAGTGCCCCTTCCAGGTGTGCCCCATCTGCTCGGCGATGCCCTGGGGGGACCCCAGCTACAAGAGCGCCAACTTCCTGCAGCACCTGCTGCACCGGCACAAGTTCTCCTACGACACCTTCGTGGTAGGCATCCTGCCGGGCCGGGCCCCACCCTTCCTTGGCCACCCTCCTCCTGCGAGGGCCCCTAGCCAGCCTCAGGGTCTGCAGAGCTCAGGGGAAGCCAGAAGTAAAAGCCTCACTTCAGGTGGCTACGCTCCTGCAAGTTCCGAGGGGCGGGGGGAGGGCCGAGAGCAGGTGGGGAGCGATGGTGGCGGAGCCCGAGTGGCCACTAGGGGGTGCCCAGGCCTCTTGGGGACGTGGACCACACCGGGCAGGTCCCTGCCTGCCCACCCCACGGAGCCCCTTGAGGGTGAGCCGGGCTTCCTTCCGGAAGCTTTCTGGAGAGAGCTGGAAGGACTTCCATCGACATCGGACCCTCCAGCTTTGTCTCCTTCCCCCAGCCGCCGTGGGTCAGGCTTGCACCCAGGCCGGCAGACCCTCATGCAAACTCTTCACTCCTGATGCGGCCGCTCCCTGCTCAGCCCTGTGTATTCCTGGCCCTGGCTTACAATCCTGGTGACAACTGTCACTCCCCCTGCCAGCCGCCCAGGACCCATGCTCCTGACAGCCTCAGGATGCAAAGTGTTGGAGGTCAGGGAGCCCTGGCCTGCCTGCTCACCTCGGACGCCCCAGGGCTTAGAGTCTGAGCTGAACCAGCAGCCCCCAGTCACCCCACAAACCCACCCAGCACCCAGTCACCGGGCGCTTGGTGTCTGCAGACCCCTGGGCCCCCTCGGGCAGCTAGCTGAAGATGAGAACTCCGGGGAGCAGGTGATGGTCACACCTGCACTCGGCACCTTTTCAAGGCCGCAGGCCCCATGCCTGCGGGACGGCAGAGCCAGGTCCTTCCTGTGTCCTGCTGGAGGGAGGCAGGAAGGGTGGACACGCCTGTGTGGGTGATGGGCGGAGGGGCGGCCCTCAAACCCGGCGCTTCTCTCCTTCCTGTCTCCAGGACTACAGCATTGACGAGGAGGCTGCCTTCCAGGCCGCCCTGGCCCTCTCTCTCTCTGAGAACTGAAGGGGGCAGCGGCACAGCCACCTGCCCCTGTCGGGGTCAGGGATGCCCTGCTCCAGGGACAGGGCTGGGCTCCTGTGTCGCACCTGGCATCTCCTCGGAAACATGCCTCACCGGCCCGGGAGGAGCGTGCACCTGTGCAGGAGGGGAGCCGGGGACGAGCCTCCAGGCCTGGAGCCGGGCCAGCCACCTAGGCCGCCAGGGCAGGGCCGCCTGGTCCCGCCGGGGTCGCTGGGATATTCGGTGCTTCTGGCCAAGCAGGCGGCCTCCTTGGGCAGGGCTGGCCACTGGGACCTGGAGCAGCCGCTGTCTCTTCAAAGCCATGATGCCCCCGCGTGGGAAGGAGGGACCAGTGGCGTCTGAGCTGCACTCTGCAGTCGAGCTGGGAGGAACCCCAGCGGCCGCGCTGCCCGCCCAGCCCGCCTGGCCCCGCCCCGCTTCCACCTTGGCACTCGGTACTGGCTTTTGTGACACTTAGGAATCCTGGCATCTTTTCTATACGATCCAGTGTGATCACCTTTTCACATTTTTTAGCGCAAAGACACAGCGGTTACTCTTCATACTGCAGTATCTGTGTTTGACTAGGAATAACAGTATTTTTATGGAACATTTACAAAATTATATTTTTAAAAAAAACAAAACAAGCATTGTGGGATTGGGGCAAGGAGGAAAGGAGCAGCGGGGCCTGCCTGGGCCACCCACTCTGTGTCTGGGTCCTTGAGGTTTGTGAGTTTCTCTTTGATAACCAGGAAGAAATCCCAGCACCCCAGGCACACCCCAGGAGAGGCAGGGCCGGCAGAGCAGGGGCCCCCTCCTGACCTCAGCCCACCATCACCCTCAAGGCTGACGGTGCCCGCTGCCGGAGGAGACTTCGCCCTGGCTGTGCGGTGCAGCGCTTCGGGGCCTGGGCAGGGGCCCGCGTGGCAGGCCGGGCAACGCGTCAGCACTCTTTTCTGTTCTTGGCATTAATTGTTGCTGTCTTTTTTTAAAAAAAAAGTTTAAATAAAATGTCTCAGAACATCTCTAGCAGCCCCGACTGGGTTTATCCTCCGCGGTGTGGATCGCCAGCTGCTCTGTACGTGGGAAGCCGGCCGTGTCTTCCCAGGCAGCCCATGCTGGGGTGCAGCCTGCGGCCATGTGTGCCCTGACCCAAGCCTCGTCCAGCCATGGAGGGTCGCACAGAGCCATGCCGGCATTGGCACTGGGCCCTCCTCCTTTTAAGGGAGTACGTGCTCCTGCGCCCACAGGGCTCCTATTTCCCACTTGCCTGGGCTTCTAACTCCTAGCTGCTTTCTTTTTTAAAAGCCGGGGTCTCACTCTGTCGCCCGGGCTGGAGTGCAGTGGTGCGATCATAGCTCACTACAGCCTCCATCTCCTGGGCTCAAGTGACCCCCTGCCCTGACCTCCTGTGTCCCTGGGACTACAGGTGTGGGTGACCTGGACTGGTTTCTGAGCACACTGAGCGTTACGAAAGTGCTTGTAGCTCTGCGAGGGGTCACCATCAGGGGCAGGGGATCCCCTGTTTTCTAGTCTCTGAGGGCCTCAGGCTGACAAGAATCACCTGCTCGCGCACCCCAGAGCAGCCGGCCATCCAAGGTCAGCCACCGTTTTCCTGCTTCCTCTCTCCCTTCTCAGTTAAGGGGTGTTTTCAGTCTCTGTTCTGGATTCTTTTTTTTTTTTTTTTTTTTGAGACGGAGTTTCGCTCTTATTGCCCAGGCTGGAGTGCAGTGGCACGATCTCAGCTCACAGCAACCTCCGCCTCCTGGGTTCAAGCCATTCTCCTGCCTCAGCCTCCAGAGTAGCTGGGATTACAGGCATGTACCACCACACCTGGCTAATTGTTCTGGATTCTTTACTAGAAGGGGAGGTGGCTGTCCTGACCCTGAAGGCCACAGCTTGGGCCGGACATGCAGGAGCCTCCACCAGCCTTCACACCAGGGGAGACGCCCCTTAGGGAGCACAGCTGACTTCAGACTGCACTTGCCAAGGGCCACCGGAGACCCCACCTTCCCTTCCCACTACTCTTTGACCCCTGGTGACATGGTCCTGTGTCTGGGAGGTCCTCACCAGGCAGCACCAAACATCAGAGAACAGCAGAGCCAGCTGCCAGCCTGCCTTTCCCTGTGACCTTCCAGGAGGAGGCTTGAGACAGCCTCCCCAGGAACCATGGGGCCTCCCAACTGATGCTCAGTGAGGCAGACAGCATGCAGAGCAGGGCCATTCCCAGCGGCGGGTGGCTGTGTGTTCACCCTCTCCACGGCTGACCGGAGGGTGACACGGAGCAGTCACGAGGGCATGACCCTGGGTGTCCACGAAGCCTGGAGGCGGCTCTGGGCCCTGTCTGGACGGACTGTGGCCTCAACTGCAGCCCTCGGGGAGGTGACGCCCAAGTCTCTGCGCCTCACCGGGGGAGGCTGAAGCACCTGCGAGTCAGAGTGGCTCCCTGATGCCTCGGGGGAAGGGGGAGGGGCTGTCAGGTTGTTGGGGGCGTGGACAGGCTAGGAACTGCCTGGACTCCCAGGCTCTGCTCTGCCCCAGGCCCCCTGCTTCCATGCAGGCAGGTGCTTCGGGGAGTGAATTCTGATGCTGGCCTGTCTAAGACTCCCTGCTCTGTGTCACCCTCAGCTCTGAAGGTCCCTCCTGGGACCACGCTGTGACCGCTGGTGCTGGGGACTCAGCAAGGCCGGGGCTCGGTCGGGGGCACTGGGCCCAGGTGGGGCAGGAGAAGGAAAGGCTCTCATGCCCACTGTCGCTCATGCTGCGGATGGGAACGGTTTTAACCGACTGTGGCCTCTGAAAGGCGCATGAGAAGCCCGTCCCTGTGTGCTTGTCCCACTGGGTGGCCCTTGTCCTCAGGCAATGCGACCGCCCTCCCTGACCAAACCACAGCCACACGCCTCCTACCGGCCAGCATTGCCCAGAGTCGAGGACAGAGAACGGAGCCCAGACAAGGAGCCAACGCAGTCACACTCCGCCAGCCCCGCTCCCAAACGCTGGGCTGCCTCTCAGCCCCACGGAGGAAGCTGAACCCTGTCCCCTCCCGGTTGGACCCAGGCCTTCCGCCACTGCGGCTCCAGGGGGCTGTGAGAGGAAGCCCAGGGCCCCTCCTCAGGGCACCCTCTGTCCCTGCACGTGGGTCTGGAGGCAGCAGGCCCAACCCTCCAGGTCCCCTCATGGAGGCCACAGGAGAGCTGAGAGCCGCAGGCTGGCGTCCAGGTGGAGATTCGGCCTCAGCCTTCCTCATGGGTGACCTGGTGTCTGGAAGGGGCTGCCCAGTCCAGGGGAGGACTTCAGAATGACAGGAAAGTGATGCCTCGGGGTCCCTTGGAACTCAGCAGACCTGGCCGTATGGGGAGGTGGCCTGAGGCTTGGAGGAAGGCCCCCAGCTCCATCTTGCTAACAAAGCCCTAGGTAGAGCCGGACGACTGCACTGGGATACAGTGGGGCTGTCCCAGCCACAGCGGGGAGGCCAGGCCCCTCCTATGGCCACTCGAGGGAGATACGCTGAAGCGCCTCATGTCGTGGGGTGGGGGCGTGCACGGCGCCGGAGCCAGAGAGCGGCCCACTCAGACCACACGGGCCTCGGCGGCTAGGATGTGGGCCCACCGCTCTTGGGCAGGGCCCCGGAAGCCTGGGTCTCCCTCCCACCCTGGGGTACAGCAGGACCTGACTGGGAGGCGCCAAGCCACGGAGGGCTCCTGCCCGGCGGGGTCCAGGCCCTTCACAGACTTGCAGCAGCACGCCCTCGGTTTCACTTACGCGACAGCATGGGGAGCGCGAACCCTGCCGTCCAGAAAGCGCCACCAGGTCCTAGGGACCAGGGAACTTCCCCATTAGAAAGAGCTCAGGTGGCCCCAGACTGGACCCCCCAAGAAAGTGCCCGTAATTCTCATACCTGGGTCTCAGGAGCCACGACCAGCACTCTGGGCACTCACAGGCGGCGGCAGCAGGGTGTGGTTTACAAGACGCCAGCCCAGGCCTTTCCAGAACCACAGGTGTGCGTGACGGGGGGCGGTTTCCTCCAACTGAGGGCCTCCCAGCTGCAGCTCCTCTATCCCAGGGCCCAGCGCACGGGCCGCAGCAGCCTGACCCTCCCAGGATCCTCTGGGTGCCTCTGGGTGGTGCCTTGGCGTTCCTCTAATTTGGGGCCACCTGATTTTATGCTCATGTGGCCCTAGGGAAGGAGGCACAGGCCGGTGCTCCTGTTTCATAGATGAAAAAACATATTCAGAAAACCTGCCCCAAATCCTCTGCTAACAAGAGGCACATAGGGCTGGCATTCCACTGTGGGCCCAGCCGGGTCACCTGAAAAACCCAGGAGGCCTCCACGGGGACCCTAACACCCCACCCCAGGACGTGATGCAGGGAGGGAGGGCGCCCTCAGCCCCAGCCTCCCCAACACGGAGTGGCTGGAGGGCCCGGCCGCATTGAGGGATGGCCTGAAGAAGCCGCCTCTGGTGGCACTGCCCCTGCAACCCATCCCTCCATAACTACATCCCAGGGTTCTCTAAACACTCATGGAAAAAGAGGCTTGAATTCACTCAGCAAGGCCTCGCAAGGTCAAATGCACTGACACAAAAACAGCCTCAGGGACGCATCTCTAACAGTGGGCTCTCGGGCACAAGTATCGATGCTTTTTTTTTTTTGAGACAGAGTCTCCCAGTTTCGAGCAATTCTCCTGCCTCAGCCTTCTGAGTAGCTGGGATTACAGGCACGTGCCACCACTAGCATGTGCCCGCCTGATTTTTGTATTTTTAGTAGAGATGAGGTTTCAGCACATTGGCCAGGCTGGTCTCAAACTCCTGACCTCATGATCCGCCTGCCTTGAGCTCCCAAAGTGCTGGGATTACAGGCATGAGCCACTGCACCTGGCCAACTCTATTTTCAATAAGGCCCCATGCCCAGAGGTGCGGGTGGGACCCCAACATCTTTTAGGGAGACACAGTTCAGTCCACCATGATGTCCGTCGGCGCTCTGTCGATGATGTCCCTGGCATTTCTGGAGGCACCGGGGCTCCGAGGACTGTGGGACTTCTGCCCGCAGCCCTGACCCTGCTGATGCGGTAACCCAGGGTGCAGGCCACGGAGAAAGCACCGTCACACCTGTCGGAACCCGTGCTGACCTGCATCTGGAAGGGACGCCAGGTTCCCTACCCCAGGTCTCCCTGCCCCAGGCCCACCCCGTTCGCAGGAGCCATGGACAGCGCTCATCCAGATCCCAGGCGTGGTGCGGCTCCAGCCCCTTACCCAGTGGGCTTTGTCCTCCTTGTGGCTGGGAGGCAGAATGCACTCAGCGGGCCACCAGTTCCTCCTTCCCTGCAGCCGCCCAGCGGCCCCACAGCCTCCCCACTGCCTGCCTCCTAGGCAGGTGTCAGCTCTAACACGGCAGGTAGGAAGCTCAAAGGACGCTGGCAGAGAGCAGGTGGCAGGGCTCGCACTGGAGGAACCTGCAGGCATCCCACTCTGCAGGACAATGCTGGGGACCCCGCAGACCCCTCTCCTGGCACCTGGTGCTTACCCGCTGATGCCCAGCCTCCATGCCACCTCAGAGCAGCTGCTGCCACTTCCCACATGCATATGCCCATGGACACACGCACAAACACCCCTGTGACCTGCAGACACACATGCACACTGCCTTGCTACTTGATGGTTCAATTCTCACCTCATCTGCCCCCAGTCTGAGGGCCACTCAGCACCGTCGCTGTCCCTGGCCTGTGCTGAGGCATCTGCTCCTGCAGCGTCCGTGTGTCAGTAGGGACCGCTGTAATGGGCAGCACAGCCAAGCCTGCAGCCTGGGCACCAGGACACCATGCCCAGGCGCCCATGCTGGCTGCCAGAGATGAGCGCTTAGAGGCGTCTCTCTCACCAGGAGCCTGGGCTCTCACACTCCCTGCACTTCCTTTCATAAGCCCATTCAGGCATTTGCCCGTGAACCTGCGCTGACCACTCCCATTCCCTGTGCATACGGCTCATTGCCACACGCCCTCTTCTCTCTGCCCGAACCTTCACTTCTGCCTGTGAGATCTGGCGCCCTCCCAGCCCAGGATGTGTGAGTACTAAGTCTTTGAACATGTTTCCCATTGTGGTGGGGACTGAATTTGTACCTTCCACAAGGAAGAACCAGGTGCTGCCCAGGCTGGGTTTTCTCGGAGACGCGGGGGACACAGGGCAGGCTCCCAGCACCAGAGCGATGGTCAGGCAGGTATAACCTGGACGCGAATCAGGCAACAGCCGCAGGGCATCTGCCAGTGTGAGCAAGTTTCCTGGAGGGACTCATGGTTGCAGGTCAGACAACCAGGCATTACGCCATTTGCCAGGCAAAAGACACATCCTGTGAAAGGCAGATGGCAGATACCATGTCCATCCCCTTCGTCTTCCGAGCGTGCAGGGCTGCCAGCCACCGGGCACTGCCACTGAAAGCCAGTGTAGCTGGGGCTCTGACAACAAGCATGTCTGCCTCTTGGGACCCCCATACCACACAGAACGTGTCCACTGAACCCCAGCTTAACAACCACCCTTCAGGCCAGGAGCAGTGGTGCACGCCTGTAATCCCAGCACTTTGGGAGGCTGAGGGGGACGGATCAGCTGAGGTCAGGAGTTAAAGACCAGCCTGGCCAACATGGTGAAAGGCTGTCTCTACTAAAAATACAAAAATTAGCCAAGTGTGGTGGTGGGCACCTGTAATCCCAGCTACTCGGGAGGCTGAAGCAGGAGAATTGCTTGAACCCGGGAGACGGAGGTTGTGGTGAGCTGAGATCGCGCCACTGCACTCCAGCCTGTGTGACAGAGCAAGACTCTGACTCAAAAAAACAAAACAAAACAAACAAACAAAACCCATCCTCCCTCTGACCATCTAGCCCTCAGCGGGGGTGTGAGCAGCCGAAAACAGCGGTGAGTCCCCTTCCCGGAGGGTGAGCAAGCACACAGCTGCTCCCGGTCTGGCCGGACATTGAGATTTCAAGGTTGGGTTCTTACTTCAATGGACCCATGACCTTGGGCAGGATGGAGTTGTCCCGAGTCGGGACTTCAGCCTCCATGAACTGCCTCTGCTTCCACAGGAGGGGCCATGTCTCTGAGTCTGGGGACAACCAAGGCCCAGCTGCCAGGCTCTCCTTTGGGGGCCTGGGTCTTCACCTGTGTGTCTCCACTCTAGACACAGACAGGACCTAAGTGCCCCGAGGGCATGGGGCAGGGCCTCTAGAAAGGCCAGGCTGCCTGCAGGCTCCTGCTTCCCTTCCATCCAGTTCAACAAGCCCTGCTGAGCCCCCAGCATACACCTGACCACAGGTAGGCATTGTGTGGGGAGCAAGGGCTGAGCCCCCACCCCGGTCTAGCTCTCAGGGGCTGCGGTTCAATTCAAGGTGAGGCTTTCCAAGATTTGGGTCATAAAGTCCTATCAGTAAGAAATGAGCACTGGCACACATCTGTAATCCCAGCACTTTGGGAGGCGGAGGCACGCAGATCACTTGAGATCAGGAGCTTAAGACCAGCCTGGCCAACATGGTAAGACCCCATCTCTACTAAAAATACAAAAAAAAAAAAAAATTGCTGGGTGTGGTGGCAGGCACCTGTAATCCTAGCTACTCGGGTGGCTGAGGCAGGAGAATCATTTGACCCAGGGAGTCAGAGGTTGCGGTGAGTTGAGATCGTGCTACTGCACTCCAGTCTGGCAAAAGATCGAGACTCTCAAAAAAAAAAAAAAAAAAAAAACCTCCACAGAAATCTCCGTGTGTGGTAGTGCACACCTGTAATCCCAGCTACTTGGGAGGCTGAGGCAGGAGAATCACTTGAACCCAGGAGGTGGGGGTTGCGGTGAGCTGAGATCACCAAGATCACTCCACTGCACTCCAGTCTGGGTGATAGAGTGAGATCCCCTCTCAAAACAAACAAACAAGGCTCACACCTGTCATCCCAGCACTTGGGGAGGCCAAGATGGGCTAATCACCTGAGGTCAGGAGTTTCAGACCAGCCTGGCTAACATGGTGAAATCCCATCTTTTAAAAAATTAAATTAAATTAAAAAGCAAAAGCAGTCAAGAGTGACAGAGGCATATACCCAGATGGATACACGTTTGCACATCTCCAGGCACTATGTATTTACATCCACTGTGAAACCAGAAAAGCAGGACATACGCAGGGGATGAAAACGTCAACGTAAATGGAACTGTGACCATTTTTGCCGGTCAACTGATCGGCAGTTCCTGGGGTGGGCTCCCCGCTGGAAAACTGCTGTTGGGCATCTGATGCAGGCAGATGGAAGGGGCCCGGCTGCCAGGCCCAGCACAAGTCATCATCCCGAGGTCCTGGATGTCCAGGGAATAGGGTGAGGGCTGGGATCGCCTGCTGCAGTTCAGGAGGGCAGGTCTAGCAGGCTGTGGGCCAGGGGTTCCCATACAGGGGCACGTAAGGTTAACCCCCAGAGCCAAGCGGCCAGCACTGAGGACCGGAGGACAAGGAAGGGCTGGAGACAGCCGCCCTCCCTCCCCGAGGCAGCACAAGTGGGAAGGGAGACGCTGAGGTTCCCTCTGTGGGGCCTCCTTGGGTCCAGCCTGGACACTGCCCTGTGCGTCACAGCTGGAGTGAGTCTGAAACAGATTCAAGCGTCCCTGGCCGGGGGTTGGGGGGAGTTGCTGGGGGAGCCCTAGGACCTGACCCCAAAGGTGCTCTGAGCCCTCAGACCCTCTGGGGCGTTCCCAGGGTAAGATCAGCCGTTCTCCACGGGAAGGCTACGGCTGCCTGGATAGCACGCGGCTCTCGCTGGATTAGGACATAAGCTTGCTGGGGCTTGGCGGATGGCCACGCAATAGGTAGGTGGGCGGGGAGGGACAGTGTGGGTGGAGGTTTGGCTCAGGTATCTGCAAGCGTTATCTGTGTCTGTGAGGGGGAGGGAGAAGGAAGGGAGGCTATAAATAGAAACCTTTCAAGGCAAGGAACAGGTGAATAAGCAGAAGGCAGGCATGTGTCTGAAATCCACACTCCCACCAGGGTGGTGCCAGGCCGTGGTTTCGGGAGAGGCGGGAACCTTCTTCCAGGGTCGCCCCCACCTGTCCTCCCACTCCCCCTCGCCAAGTGGCAGAGAAGCTGGAGTGGGGATGGGTCCCAATCCCACTGTGTCCTAACCTCCCACAGCCTTGGTCTTCTCTTTCTCTTTTTCTTTCTTTTTTAAAAATTTTTTGAGACAATGTCTGTCTCTGTTGCCCAGACTGGAGTGCAGTGGGGTGATCACAGCTCCCTGCAGCCTCCACCTTCTGGAGGCTACTCCAACAAGACATCCTCCCTCCTCAGCCTCTTGAGTAGCTGGGACTGAAGAGGGGCGCTGCCACCTCTGGCTAATTAAAAAAAACTTTTTTTGTAGAGATGGGGTCTCATCTTGTTTTTCAGGCTGCTCTCAAACTCCTGGGCTCAAGCATTCCTCTGTCAGCCTCCCACAGTGCTGGGATTACAGGCGTGAGCTGCTGAGCCCACTCTCAGAGCCTTGGTTTTTTCACTGGCAAAGCAGGGCTGATACTACCCCAGCTTCTCACACCCTGGACATGGGATATGGGACGCCCCTCCTCTCCGCTGTCTCCCTCGGTGCTTCCATGGACTCACCACTCCCCACCTTCCCCACCCCCGGCCCACAGAGGGCAAAGGGCACCCAGCTCTCAGGTGGAAGCCCTGGTGGGGAGGCAGGCCTGCGGCAAGGCCATGGACACGCCTATGTGCACCCTAGCCCAGAGACACCCCACCTGGCCCCCAACCTTATGAAACATCCACATCAAAAGGGACCCAGACACCGGACACAGGGGCTCCCAGCTCTTTATGGCACTTCTGCAGATGACAAAGGAGGGAAACGGCTGGCCCAGGTCACATGTGCAGCTGTTGCAGAATTCATGTGATGTGCCAGTTTTATTAAACTTCCCATAACCGTTCTGATCCCTTGGGAATTCCAGAATTCCAGGCCAAGTCCCAAGCCCCCGCACCCCTCAAAAAGTGTTTTCTGGAGGCACTGGGCAAACTCCTAAAGGCCTGTCTCCAGCGGGGGAGCCTTGGGAGACTGCAGCCCACCCAGAAGGGCCACTGTCCCCAGGCCACCCGTCCCTGGCCCTGGCCGGTTCCAGGGCAGCGACCCTGGGCCGCCACTGGGGCCGGTCAGTCGGGTCAGCTTTGGAATTCCAGGGTTCTGCCCATGAATCCTGCCGCGTGGGTTTGCAGAAGGGATGGGGAGGCGCAGCCGTGGAGAGGGCATCATGAGCCGCTGCAAGGGTTCCCAAGGACTGGGGTCGGCCAGCGGGGGCTTCCACGCAGTGTGGACAGGAACCCAGCTCGGTTTCCACTCAACCTTGAACTCTGCTCTTTAATTCACGGCGAGTGGGCGGCCAGGACCGAGGGGTCGGTGTGTGACTCGGCGGCGCGCGCGCCAGGGAAGTCCCGTGGGGAGGACACCGACGGCCACGCGCTCCCCGACCCGCCCGCGCACCTGTCCTGGGCGTGGCGCCCGCGGCTGCTGCCCCGCCCCGCCCTCAGCCCCGCCCACGGGCCCCGCCCAGCTCGCGCCGGGCGCTGGTTGGCGGAGGCGGCGCGCTATGCTAATAAGCCTGACCCCTCCGCACCTGCCCTGGCCCGGCGGCTGGGCCGCGGACGCCGCAGTGGCGACCCGCGCGCGCCCCTCCCGCCCCAGCCCGCCCCGGCCCGCCGCCCGGGAGGGACCATGCCGCGCTCCTTCCTGGTGAAAACGCACTCCAGCCACAGGGTCCCCAACTACGGGCGGCTGGAGACGCAGAGAGGTACCGGCTGCCCGACCCCCTGACGGGACTAGAGCCTGCGGGTCTGGAGAGAGGCCCCTGGGAGCGGGGGGTGTGGGGACACCTGTCCCAGGTGGGAGGGGAAGGAGCCGGCGCCTCTGCGCGGCGGCTGCGCCTGCAGGGAGGTAGGTGGCCCACGGGCGCCTCCGCTTAGGGAACTGAGCCCTGCCTCTGGCAGGGCGGGCGGATTCTCTCCCCTCTGGGAGAAGTTTTCTAAGCCCTCATGTCTCCCTGGAATTCACCCCTTATATACGGCCTCCTGTCCCCACCACTTCAGCCCAGCGAAAGGGACCCCGGGGTCATCTTACTGGCACACGGGTTTGGGAGGGGTTGCGGGGTGGTGGGAGGGAAGGAGGGCCGTCTGGGACTGCCCTGCTGAGGGAGCCGCGGAGCATGCTGACCAGGGGTGGTAAGCACAGGGGATGGGGAGAAGGGGGACCCATGAGCTCTTTCTGCTGCAGAGGCACTGCCCCTCCTGCCTCCGTTCAGGTGAGCCTCCTCCCGTGGCTTCCCTCCCTCCCCCAACCTCCCCTCACCCCAGAAGCCCTCTTGCTCACGCCGGCAGGCTTGCCTGGACAGGCTGGGCTAAGGCGCTGCAATCCTCTACACACTGGCTGGGCTGGGGAGATGGGTGCCCAGCAATCGGGATGTCCACTCATTCCCACTGCCTGCTAGGCACAGGGACACTACAGGAGAGGACTCTGTCCTTCAGAGGACAGCCTGCCACATGGGCAGTGAGAGCAATCCCCACCTGTCTTGGCAGCTTCTAGCTAGGGAAGCCCACTGAGGGGCCCCAGTGGACGCAGCAGTTGGAACTCACGCTCTGTGACTGGGGGGAGAGGGCAGGAAGGGCACTGATGGGGCTGGGGCCTCCAGAAACACCCCCAACAGATCTTTATCCCAGCTCAGAACCAGAGTTGGGGGCAGGAGGGTCCCACCTGGATCCACACCCGAGGCCCAGGCTGCCACCAGGGGGTGCCAGCTAGGACTGTGCTTTCAAAATGTACGTTTTGAAATCAGTTTCGTGAGTCACCACCAGCAACTCTGTAAAATAAAATAGAACAGAAATTATTGGAGTGCCGCGCTCCCGGGAGGGGACGCTGGCTTGTTATGTGTATGTGGATGTACATGTGAGTTCAGACGTGATGGAAAACGGAATTTACATGGCGCATAGTCCCAAGTTTCGAAGTGTTGTTGAAGGTCCAGCCATACAGCGAACGCACCTCACCATCCGAGTGTGCAAACCTGGGGAGCTGAGTGGGGCCCAGAGGGTGACTGTCGTGAGCAGCCTTGCTGCCCCGCAGCGCTCCCTGGTTCTCTCCTCACTGCTCCCCTCCTCACTGCTCCCCTCCTCACTGCAGCCCCAGCCACCTGGCTTTCTAATAGCCAGGGGGCCCTGGTGACTTTCTGCCCAGATGTTACCCCAGGATACATCTGAGGTGCTGGGGTTTGGGGCTCCTCAATCTCTCCTTTTAAATAAGTAGCTCCTATGGCTCCCCAGGGAACCCCTGAAGCCAGCAGGATACTTAACAGTCTCTTCGTCAGGGCACAGTGGCTCACGCCTGTAATTCCAGCGCTCTGGGAGGCTGAGGCGGGCAGATCACCTGAGGTCAGGAGTTCGAGACCAGCCTGACTAACATGGAGAAACCCCGTCTCTACTAGAAATACAAAAGTGAGCCAGGTGTCATGGCGGGTGCCTGTAATCCCAGCTACTTGGGAGGCTGAGGTAAGAGAATCACTTCAACCCGGGAGGCGGAGGTTGCAGTGAGCCAAGATCACACCACTGCTCTCCAGCCTGGGAGACAGAGTGAGACTCCATCTGACAACAAAACAAAACAGTCTCTTCTCCTCAGGATCTGGACAGCAGAAGGAATAAAAAAGCAAGTAAAACCCAGCGAGTATGGGGAAAGTGTTTAAAATCCCAGCAGAAGCACACGGTCAGCCTGACTGGGAGAGGCTGTCTCTTGGCCCGTTTGCCTCTCCGCTCAGCCAATGGGTCCACAAACAGGGTCCCAGCTCTGTGACAGTGCCTGGAGCCAGAAAGGTTGCCAAGTCTTAGAGATGGAGACAAGAAACGGTGACTTTCTCCTGCAAAGGCCCCAGTAAAGCCGGGCAACCCTGGGCTCCCCAGTGCGGTCTCCCCAGAATTCCCTTGGATGTTCCCTCTTATCCAGTCATTGCCCCCACTTCTGGGTGGACAGAAGCCTGGTGACTTTGTAACTAGGAGAACTGAGGGTGGGAGGCGGTCAAGTCAGGAAGGAGGAGCAGAATTCCGTTTCCCTCATCCTCACAGTGCTTGTGATTGTCTATTTTTTTCAATCCTACTGGGTGTGAGCATCTCGCTGTGGTTGTGATTTGTGCTTCCCTGGCGGATAATGGTGTTGAGCATCTTTGCATGTGTTCATTGGCCATTTGTGTATCACCTTTGGAGAAATAGCTATTCAAATCCCTTGCCCAGGCGGGGCACAGTAGCTCATGCCTTGTAAGCTCAGCACTTTGGGACGCCAAGGTGGGCAGATCACTTGAGGCCAGGAGTTCGAGATCAGTCTGGCCAATGTGGCAAAACCCCCTCTCTACTAAAAATACGAAAATTACCTGGACATGGTGGCGGGCGCCTGTCATCCCAGCTATCAGGAGGCTGAGGCAGGATAATCGCTTGAACCCGGGAGGCAGAGGTTGCAGTGAGCTGAGATAGTGCCACAGCACTCCAGCCTGGGTGACACAGCAAGACTCTGTCTCAAAAAAAAAAAATTAGCCAGGCGTGGTGGCACACAACTGTAGTCCAGCTACTGAGAAGTCTGAAGCAGTAGAATCATCTGAACCTGGGAGGTGGAGGTTGCAGATTGCAATGAGCCGAGTTCATGCCACTGCACTCCAGCCTGAGCGACAGTGAGAGACTGTCTCAAAAAAAAAAAAAAAAAAGCCGGGCGCGGTGGCTCATGCCTGTAATCCCAACACTTTGGGAAGCTGAGTTGAGTGGATCACGAGGTCAGGAGTTCAAGACCAGCCTAATCAACATGGTGAAA